AATGAACAGCTTTTTGATGCTTTCTAATGAACTTTTAAATTGAGTCTGTGTGTTTTTGTCCTTCTTCAGGGCATGCCCTGTAAATCAAAGGCCGGTGAAGTGATAGCCTGTATTTCTCATTAAGGCCTCTCCAGGGCCAGGGGCTGAGGTGAAGGAGCGTGTCGCTCTCTGATTACCCAGTTGCAGGTATTGTTTCCTGTGATCTCAGTCTTCAGAAGGCCAGGTAACAGTAGTCATCAGGTATATTCAATTTCATCCATTTGTCGGAGGGGCCACAGTGGCACCGTGGTTAAAACCGCTGCCCTGCAGCGCTGGGGCCCTGGGTTCAAGTCTGTCTGTGTGGAGTTTGCACGTTCTCCCCGTGTTCACATGGGTTTCCCCATCAGTCCAAAGAGAAGCTGGCGGGTTAATTGGCTTCAGGGAAAATTGGCCCTGGTGTGAGTGTGTGTGTCTGTGTGTCTTTGTGTGTCCTGTGATGGACTGGTGTCCTGTCCAGGGTGGACCCTGCCTTGTGCCCGTTGCTTGTCAGGACAGACTCCAGCTCCTCCCTGACCCGGTTAGAACTCGGTTAGAAAACGCCTGGATGGATCTATGCATCTCTATCTTTCTCATAATCGATCTGCAGGATGAGGAGCAGTGCAATGTCATGCTCAGCAGCTGTCCAGCTCTTGCACAAGACGGACCACAGGGCCTCGCTGGCACACAGGGTCAGGGGTCACAGGGGACAGAGGTGAACAGAGCCCAGTGGTGCAGAGACTGGGAAGAAACCCAACAGCCAGACAGAGAAAGCTGAAATACTTTGATATTGTAACGCAACGGGGGCTCAGGCGGGCGCCCTTGCTGCATCTGGTCGGCCCCTACACCGTCCGGGGCTCGAACCCGGGACTTCCGCGTCTCTCTGCAGGGACCTAGCCCCGTGAGCCAAAGAGAGATCTCTCCACAGCCCAGTAGCTGTGGTCCTGCTATCACAGGGAAGGGCGGTGACGTCACCTGCTCTGGTACGCCGGCTCTTACACAGTACCTGTCGGCCGTAAGCGTTACAATATTTTCACTATTTCAGATTTTACACAATACTTCTTAAAACCTATCGATGCGTTTTATGCGGATTTTCATTTATTTCAAAAGTTTTTACCAACTTGTCTGTTGAAATGTTTGTGAATACAATAACAAAACAAAGGACTCGGGCAACTATATTCGCCTTTTGCTAAGATCCGTGGAAGGCCGGAGACTTTTTAAACCGGAATCTCTGGCCGCCTGCTGCCACAAGGGGCTGTAATAAAGTTTCGAGATTCCCGGTGGCACTAGGTTTCGATTTTTAGCTTGTTTTTTTTTTTTGTCGTGAAAACAGCTGTTCACAAAATGCACTTGGGTTCTCTTTGAAATCTCCCCAAGAGTAGCATCCCGTTAACAATTTTGTCCTGCAATCTCGCCTCA